CACATCATACACTGACTCACTCACACATCATACACTGACTCACTCACACATCATACACTGACTCACTCACACATCATGCACTGACTCACTCACACATTATACACTGACTCACTCACACACCATGCACTGACTCACTCACACATCATGCACTGACTCACTCACACATCATACACTGACTCACTCACACATCATGCACTGACTCACTCACACATTATACACTGACTCACTCACACACCATGCACTGACTCACTCACACATCATACACTAACTCACTCACAGATCTTACACTGACTCACTCACACATCATACACTATCTCACTCACACATCATGCACTGACTCACTCACACATCATGCACTGACTCACTCACACATCATACACTGACTCACTCACACATCATACACTGACTCACTCACACATCATGCACTGACTCACTCACACATCATGCACTGACTCACTCACACATCATACACTGACTCACTCACACATCATACACTGACTCACTCACACATCATGCACTGACTCACTCACACATCATGCACTGACTCACTCACACATCATACACTGACTCACTCACACATCATACACTGACTCACTCACACATCATACACTGACTCACTCACACATCATACACTAACTCACTCACAGATCATACACTGACTCACTCACACATCATACACTGACTCACTCACACATCATGCACTGACTCACTCACACATCATACACTGACTCACTCACACACCATACACTAACTCACTCACACATCATACACTGACTCACTCACACATTATGCACTGACTCACTCACACATCATGCACTGACTCACTCACACATCATGCACTGACTCGCTCATCATGCGCTTACTCACTCACACATCATACACTCGCACAACCACTGACCCATTCACTCATCATACACAGGTTCACTCATCGTGTGCTGGCTCACTCGCACATCATACACTCACTCACACTGCCGCTGACTCGATCACACATCATACGCTGAATCACACATCATACACTCACTCACACTGCCGCTGACTCGCTCACACCTCATACACCAACTCACTCATCATACGCTGACTCGCACATCATACACTCACTCACGCTACTGCTGACTCACTCACACATCATACACTGGGAGTGTCGTGCTGCCAGCTATGGCTGCAGGTTTTGTAGTACGTGTTATGTATTTCGTTTATTGTTAAATTTAAAATCACAGTTCCTATGATTACTGTTGTTACATTGTTTTTGTAGCTTTATTTTGGTCTGGTTGTGGTGTAATAGTTTTCTGCAATGTAGATTCATATTTTGTTTCGGTTGCACCCGACTTAAGAGCCGCATGGCTCACAGGGCTATACCTAATAAATGAAACTTGAAACTTGATTATGAAGGCCGATATGGCGCACGAGGTGTACACATACACCAGTATTAGCTCAAACAAGAGACGCTTGAGAACCCGTTCAGATAAGTATATCGAAGACGCTGGCGAAATCATTGTTCGGATCAGAACATCATCAGCAGGGCAATGGGCACGTCTCTTTCATAAATGGGAAATTAAAGACGCGAGCCACGGTAGCGTATTTGTGGCCATGAAACCCAAACTATGGACCATATCGTAAGCCCATACAGACGCATAGATATACATAGAGACACAGCGATACATCAAAGACAAGCCACAATGCAACTGTGGCCATGAAATCCAAACGATGGACCTACAGTAGAACCACTGGAGTCTGTCTGTATCCCTCGACGCAAAGCTCCATGAACTCTCTCTCCTGAATCCCTCTTGTCGTGGAAGAGGAGTCTCGTGGGGCGAGAGTGGAGTTGGTCGCAGAGTTCGTGGACATTTGGCAAATTGACATCATACGCAATAATAGAATAGTTAAATTTCGATTTAAAGCTTTTGTGACTGCAAGGATTAATCTTCTTTGGTTATTTCGGTAAAGTCACGTAGAATGAGAATAAAATAATAAATTGATAAAATAAAATAACACAATCAAATTCTCACGACGTTTCGGCCACAACACAAGCGGCCTTCATCAGGTGAAGGGACGAGACTGTCTGGAGGACAGCGCTGGAGCGAAAAAGCCACGCTCAGATCGCGACCTTTAAGCTGTGTGAGAAGAAACAGCGCCTTGACAAAGGAATTAGCATAGAATTTAGCATTGAAACAGCTGAGTGATTAGCTTGTGACTGGTCACAGAAATGGCTATGTTAAAGTTAAAGCATACACATCCACAGAGGCACCCCTTGACAAAGGAATTAGCATAGAATTTAGCATTTAAATAGCTGAGTGATTAGCTTGTGACTGGTCACAGAAATAGCTATGTTAAAGTCAGAGCATACACATTCACAGAGGCACCTAGTACAAATCAAACAGGAGAATTTAGCATTGAAATAACTCAGAGAATTTAGCATTGAAATAACTGAGTGATTAGCTTGTGACTGGTCATAGAAATGGCTATGTTGTTCGCAGCTCTTAGAAATTCCATTTTCACACCATCAATAGGTAAACTCCCCCTTCCCCCCCCCCCCCCCCGCGCCAAACGGCAAATCTACCGGCACGTACACCACCTCTTTTCTAAAATCGGCCAATCAAATGCTATTTTTTATGCTAATTTCTTTGTCAGGACACTTTGTTTGCTCGCACACAGCTTAAAGGTCCGCGGTCTGAGCGTGGTTGTGTTTCGCTAAATTCTCCTGTTTGATTTGTACTAGGTGCCTCGGTGAATGTACATGCTCTGACTTTAACATAGCTATTTCTGTGACCAGTTACAAGCTAATCACTCAGCTATTTCAATGCTAAATTCTATGCTAATTCCTGTGTCAAGGGGTGCCTCTGCGGATGTGTATACTTTAACTTAGCTATTTCAATGCTAAATTCTATGCTAATTCCTTTGTCAAGGGGTGCCTTTGCAGATGTGTATGCTTTAACTTTAACATAGCCATTTCTGTGACCAGTCACAAGCTAATCACTCAGCCATTTCAATGCTAAATTACATGCTAATTCCTTTGTCAAGGCGCTTTGTTTCTTCTCACACAGCTTAAAGGTCGTGATCTGAGCGTGGCTTTTTTCACTCCAGCGCTGTCCTCCAGACAGTCTCGTCCCTTCACCTGATGAAGGCCGCTTGTGTTGTGGCCAAAACGTCGTGATTTTTGTTATTTTATTTTTTACCTACGTGACTTTACCCAATAGAACCCGAGAGTATGGATCCTTGCAGTCACGAAAGCTTTAAATCTAGAATTGGCTATGTTGAAGTCAAAGCCTACACATCTGAGCTATTCACAGTAACTGGGTATACAGTAACTGGGTATACACTACAAATATACACTACAAATAGTTAAGTCTCTGGGCCAGGGAGACTTTGAAATGCATAAATGAATAAGCACATCGTGAAAAGGCAATAGGTATATGAGTATAATTACACAACTGCATTTGTGAAAAGCCAAGCAGAGTGAACCGTGCAAAAACAATGGGACGCTGTGACGATGCCTCGACGGGGTTTGTGTGTGGCGGAATGTTTGTCTCATCGCAAGATGAGCAAAACCGGAAACGCAGGTTTTGGGAGGGAACAGCTGGAATGAATTCCAAAAAGTTGAAAATGTAATCGGCCAAGTTCACTTCGCGTTTTCAGTTTCAACAAAGTTCCTAATTAAATATATATTTTTATTGAACCTACAGTATTAATTTCCTCCTTCCACAAATGTTGTTCCAATGTTAATCTTGGTGGCGCGTCACGAGACAATGTCAATTCTCAACTCGCACAATGAGCGCCAATGCACGATAGAACTGGTCCGCGGAAGGTGAAATCACGGAACTACCTCCGAGAGAACGATTCAAATGGCCCTATTGATGGACATGCCCTGCACATGCACAGTGAACAAAAACAACCTCACGAATTCGTCAGTACCACTGTGTGTGTGGCCTTAAAATAAAAATATACAAAAGGCGAAATTTCAGACAATAACCCCTGTTCATAGCACATGATTACGATTACGAAACGATCCCAGTCACGTGCTATGAAGAAGGGCAATTGCTCGAAACGTTGCCTATTATACATTTATTTCCTTTTAAGACAACCGTCGTATTGACTAATCTATTGAGTTTTTTTTTATTATCAGGGCTGGAGCTTTACCGGATTGGCTATGATTATGCAGCCATCGGTGTGGCCGCCTTTGTCTCCATCAATGCTAATTTAAGACCCAGGACTGCTTCAGATCCAACCGGCTACTAGAATGTTCGCCATGAGCCTGCAATGTGGTGGCTTTTTGTTTTAGCGCGGTGCGCAAACCACTGCGCCACCGCTCCAGTGGCTCGCTGAGAGCCCGGATAGCTCAGTCGGTAGAGCATCAGACTTTTAATCTGAGGGTCCAGGGTTCAAGTCCCTGTTCGGGCGCAATTATATTTTGTTCTTAAATGTGAAGTCAATATTTACATATCTGAAACATTAAAACATTGTGTATTTATACTTTGGCAGTATGCACATTTTTTTTATTAATAGACGAAGACAAAGATTTCACGCATGTAGCGTTTAACCAGACTGTTGGGGAAAATGTTGTTCGCGAGCACCTATTAAGTCCGGAACGCCACTCGAAGAGGAGTGGTGGGACGTGTGGTCACCACGACCACCACCACGCCCGGCCGCCTTTGTCGCCGCACCAGGTACTCATTTAAGTCCGAGTCGACCTAGGGAAGCCTCAGGACAGATTCAGATATCACTTCGCCTCCGATATTAAAACGTTGCAGGAAAATCCAACGCTCAGGTGACCCACGTGTTCAGCATCATTGACCGTGGGAGACAAAGGCGCTCCGTGCATGCTGCCGGCGTTCATCGGTTCTCGTCGCTAACATCACTTTGCCCCAAGCGACTGTGGGGGCTATACGGGGGATCTTTGTCTTTGTGTGTGGATGGGTGTGTTGGGGAGGGGGGCAAGCAGACACACACGGAGGCCCGGGAGCTTTGTGTTGTGGCTTGCGAGTGGAGGAGGAGGAGGGGAGGGACGGCGAGACTGAGCGAGCGAGCGAGCTGCAGAGCGGGTTGGGTGGTGACCCAGGAGCGCGCTCTCAGCTGCCACTGCCCCTCGTGTGGAGGTGGGGCCCCTGCCAAACCTGGTGTGTGCGTGGGGAGGGGAGAGGAGGAGGGGAGAGGAGGAGGTGGGGGGAGGAGGGTGCGTGAGCCACAGGCAGTTTGTAGAGTCTATAAGTTCACTCTCCACCAAGCCACCGTCGTGTTCGTCTCCGCCGCCTCCTCCTCCTCCTTATTCTCCTCTTCATCGTCTTCTGCTCCCGCCGCCTCGTCTCGTCCGTGCCGCCCGGGCACGGGAACCACGCGAGGGCCTCTGAAAGCGCAGCACCCACGCCATGTACATCATGCAGAAGGACACCACGTTCACCAAGATCTTTGTCGGGGGGCTGCCCTACCACACCACGGACGCGTCCCTGAGGAATTTCTTCGAATCGTTCGGAGAGATCGACGAGGCAGTGGTGATCACGGACCGGCAGACGGGCAAGTCCAGAGGATATGGCTTTGTGAGTACAACTGGCGAGCTGTCGTCTCCTCTTCTCCCATTGATGATCCACGTGCCTCGCCTGTGTGTGTGGTGGTGGTGTGTGTGTAGTGGTGGTGGTGTGTGTGTAGTGGTGGTGGTGTGTGTAGTAGTGGTGGTGGTGTGTGTAGTAGTGGTGGTGGTGTGTGTAGTAGTGGTGGTGGTGTGTGTAGTAGTGGTGGTGGTGTGTGTAGTAGTGCTGGTGTGTGTGTAGTGGTGGTGGTGTGTGTGTAGTGGTGTGGGTGTGCGAGTGTGGAACGGTCGTGTAGCGGTGAGCGGGCTCCGCTCGCGAACCTGGCGACCCGACTTCGATTCCCAACACCGGTGACGTTTATCTGAAACGGTCCTGGGCCTCCTCTAGGTCGACTCGGCCTCAAATGAGTACCTGGTGCGGTGTGCGGTAAACATCGCCACTGGAGAGACAAAGGCGGCCGCGCGTGGTGCTGGCCACCCACCCCGTCATGTGCCGTTCCGGCCTTCATAGGTGCTCGCTAACAGCACTTGTCCTCTACAGTCTGTGCAGGCTACACGGGGGATCTTTGCCTTTTGTGTGCCTATGAGGAAGTGGGGAGCGGGAGTGCAACGGTGGGCGCGCTGCGCTCGGAACCCGGCGACTCGAGTTCGATTCCCGCTCACGGCCAACGTCAGCGACTGATATATTGAACCGGTTCTGGGTCTCCCCTCGGTCGACTCGGCCTTAAACGAGTAGCTGGTGCGGTGTGTTTAAAAGATCGGCTGCGAGGGAGACAAAGGCGGCCGGCACGTGGTGCTGAGCAGAACCTCGCTCCCGTGGTGTGCCGTGCCGGCCTTCATAGGTGCCACTCGTTACCAGGATTTGCCCCAACTAGTCCATTAGGGCTACACGGGAGATCTTTGTGTGTCTCTGTGCATCCAGTTCGATTCGTGACCCGCGTGTGTGGTGGTGTGTGTTGGTCTGTGGGTGGTGGTGTGTGTGTAAATACTTACCATCAGTGTTGCGCAACGAACTCTCACAAATCTGGGTTCGAATCCTAACCGCGTGGATAAACAGAATATAAACAGTGGTGTCAAACAGAGCCCGACCGTGGGCCTCCCATAGGTCAACTCGGCCTTAAACTGGTATCTTAAAACGAGTGGGTTCACAAAGGGCCCCGGAGGGACAAAGGTGTCCGGGCACAATCACGGCCAAACCCACCACCCCCTCGTGTGCCCTCCGCGCCCTAATAGGTGCTCGCTAACAGCGATTACTCCAATAGATTCATTGTGCATATTTTGTTTAAATATCTCGCATCTCGCAATATTGGAGGTGGTTGCAGGGTTCGGCCGACAAGCCCAGAAATCTGGGTTCGATGCCGTTAGCCGGGTGGACTCGATTCTAATAGGCGCTCGCTAACAGCACTTGCCCCGGTGGTCTCTCACAAGCTACACGTGGGGGGTCTTGGTGGTGTGGCGAATCGTGCCTTGTGTGGCGCTGATGGGTGGTGCGGTGGATTGGTGCGGTGGGTGGGGGTGGGGTGGTGTGGGGTGGTGTTTGGGTGTGGTGGGGTGGTGTTTGGGTGTTGTGGTGTGGTGTGGGGTGGTGTGTGGGTGTTGTGGGGTGTGGTGGGGTATTTCGTATTCCGCTCACGGCCACCAACATCAGTTACCATTATCTGAACCGCTCCTGGGCCTCCCCTAGGTCGACTCGGCCTCAAATGAGTACCTCGTGCTGTGCGTAGTCATCGCCACTGGGGAGACAAAGGCGGCCCGACGTGGTGCTGGCCACCCACCCCCTCGTTTACCGTGCCGGCGTTCATAGGTGCTCGCTAACAGCACTTGCCCCAACTGGATATGAAGGCTACACGGGGGATCTTTATCTTTGCCTTTTGTGGTTGGAGGGGGTGGTGATTGTGTGGTGGATGGCTGGTCTGTGTGGTATAATTGATCGGTGGTGTTATATGCGATGGTGTGGGGTGTGTTGGTGTGCTGATAGGTGACGACGTGGTGGGTGCTGTTGTTGGTAGGTGGTTGGTGGTGGTATGGTAGACAATGTGGTAGGTGGTGGTGTGGTAGGTCATGTGGTGGGGGGTACATGTTGCTTGGTAGGTGGTTGCGTGGTGGGTGGTAGTGTGGAAGGCAATGTTGCTGTGTGATGGTAGGTGGTAGTGTGGTTGGTGTCAGGCAGGGTGGTAGGTGGTTGCTAGGTGGTGGTGGTGATGTGGTTGGTGTCAGGCAGGGTGGTAGGTGGTTGCTAGGTGGTGGTGGTGATGTGGTGGGTGTCAGGCAAGGTGGTTGTGTTGCTTTCCCAGAGTCGAGTGGAATAAACGTTGCTCGCGTCTGATGCATTCTTCACAAACACAATCGCCTCTTCGCGTTCAACTCGTGCGTGTGTGTGTACGCCTGCGCGTGTGTGTGCGTGTGTGCGCGTGTATTTTTGTCCTCAAGGGATTTTGAAAAGTAAAATTGTTCTGGTGGTTTCATTCTTTAATGTCATGCACTCTGTGTGTGTAAATGTTATATTTACACCTATTGACCAAGTCACCCCGAATGTGCCCGATCTCATCATTGGACCTCTTTTGCCAGTACCAAAATATAATAATAGGGTTTTCCCCTTTTTTCTGGCAACAAAACTGAAACCTTTTTACGAGGATTCATGTCTGCATTAACCACAATACCTGCAGTCAAAATGCTAACAAAAAACATACTATGGTAATATATGCATTGTCCTTGAAACTGTGCCCGATCTCGTAAGATCTCGTAAGAGCTCGAAAGCTAAGCCGGGTTGAGCCTGGATAGGCTTTGTATGGGGTGCCCGGGCAGCCGTGCATAACAGGTGCTATAGGCTGCTGCTGGGGCGATGCAGGTCGTGGCCGGTCGAGTTCACCACACTTCACCACACTTCACCACGCCGGTCAGTGCGGTTTGGTGAATGTGCTGAACATTGCCGCATGCGAGCATAGAAGTGCAGTACAACGGATTGTGCTGCACTACCCTCCACGTCCCACGGGAGAGCAGCCTCACAGTCACGTGGCACTCTGTAGGTGACTCTCCTTGCAGGCCAGTATAATATTGTGTATATATTATATAGGCATTGTTCGTGTCGGATTGTGGATGGAGGACTATCCAGCAGTGGATTGATCATGTCTGACGATAAAGAAAATGCTCATGAGTGTAGTGTACTGTACTTATAGATGAACCTGTATATCATACGAAGTGTTCACGGTAAGCAAGCTCGGCTTACAAATGTAGCCGGTACGGTCTCCCGGGGCGCCGGTTTAAGCAATGGGGCAAGGTTCTAAACGTACCACTCTCCCCGCATCGCCTCTGTCCACTTGGCAGGATGAAAGGTTCACATGACGTTCGATCGTGGTGGGGCAAAGTGTGAGTATACTCCCACATCTTTGCAAGACGTCCGGCCCGTGTGGAAGATGAGGGCAAATTACTCCAAAACGTAGCTGCCCAGAGCTCCCTCTGGTGGAGGGCGTTCTGCCAGCAATGGCTTCGGCAAGAAATTGCAGGGCCGCAGCTTTGACCCTCGACATCAGTTGAGCAAGGAAATCGGGAAGCACGCACGCGCGTGAGTGTTTGTTGTGTATGGTTCATGTCTGCGTGTGGCTTGCTCACAGCACTTGCCCCAGCGGGTCTGTTCAGGCTATACGGGGCGGATCTTTGTCTTTGTGTGTATGTGGGGACTGGCACCGTAGCAGTTGGCCCGCTTCGCTGCGAACCTGGCGACCAAAGTTCGATTCCCGCTCACGGTCACAACACCAGTGGCGGTTATCCGAACCAGTCCTGGGCCTCTCCTAGGTCAATTCCACCTCGAATAAGTAATGCACCTGCTGCGATGTGTAAACATCGCCTTTTTGGAGACAAAGGCGGCCGGGTGTAGTGCTGGCCACCAACCCCTTCGTGTCCCTTGCCGGCATTCGTAGGCGCTCATGAACAGCACTTGGCGCAAAAAGTCTGAGGCTATACGGGGGGGGGGGGGGGGGGGGGTTGTCTTTGTGAGTGTGTCTGTCAGAAACATTCCACAGTCATTTTTTTGTGCAAAGTTTTGGATGAACCCGTATTTGTTATTTTGCAAAGGAGATGTTCGGTTTCAATGGGGTCTCAGCCGATCGGAATGAAGTCTGTTTATTTAAACACTGGGTGGAGAACTCTTTCCTTACCAAAGGCCGAATAGAACCTTCAGATACTTTTTGAAGGAGCCACACATCAACACGCACGCACACCAAAGTCCCCTCTGTCACTGCAAAAGATCCTGAAGCCGTTTACAACATTTGCATTTGTTCTCAGAAGTATTGAATGATTTTAGGTTTAATGAATGCATGCTGCCTGCTGTGACGAGGCTTAGAAATGAAGTACGTGGAACAAAAAAAAAACCCTAACAAATTCACGGAGAGGTTGCGGAGTGTTCTTGGGATTTGAATCGAAGGGGATGGTCATCGTAACTGGTCGGAGAAGTCAAGTGGGCTCGGGGCCAGACGCCCAGTCGCGAGAAGGGACGATGGCCGAGGCGAATTTGGAGGGTGGTGGCCAGAGGAGACAAATGGGCCCGGGAGGACGTCCAAGGTGGTGGAGCGATGGAATTGGCTCGTGTGTGGCTGCTCCGTGAGTTGTGACATCGAAGGACCGTGAGAGATGGCGACCACTTGGGGAAGACTCTCGACCAGCAGTGGATTGATCATGGCTGATGATGATGATGATTCGTGCACAATTTTTTTACGGAATGTGTTCCAACGACTCATTGTTTCCACAGACAAACGAGTCGCACGAGGTGTGAGTGGAACACTGTGTTGATTGACCTATCTAAACTGGAATATTACTTAACTAATTGACTGGATAAAGAGCTGCCCGGTGTAAGACTGTAAATTAGAAACACTCTGATTTTTGCTGCAAGAAAAATAACATCACTACGTCGACATTAAGCAGTAATCTGTATTAATATCGAGTTGGTATTAATGGGAATGGGTGAGTGGGAATGGTGTACAGTTTCAGTATGAGATGGTGACTCATTTGAGTGCT